TGTTTTATACACTGATTATTTAATCGTCTCATGGTGTTCACTCATGAATATTCAGATCATACCCTTCAAATACAGATCTTAGTATTACCATAGTAACAGAGTATTAAAATATTGAGTGCAGTGATTGGAAAAACTATGGCAGGTGGGAATAAACAGATCATAATTATTATAGGTGAAAATAAAATCCAGTGAATATACTTTTTTACTAGATTTTACATTCAAATTGTCAAAAATCACTGAAATTAAATTCCATACAAAACACTCAAAAATCCTTTCAGCGAAAATTAATTCCAGCTAAAATAAATTATATTACAGTATTCTGTCGTCTATCTCATTGTCAAGTTAAATACAATATTGTTAGAGTCTGGATGTAGTTGTTTAGTAATGGCAATTATATCCCAACCTCCACGTACCCAATTTATTTTTAATACACATTTGATTGATAACCTTTTAAAGTTTATAAAATCATTATTTTTTCTTCAAAGTCCCAGAAATCTGATGTATTGCTTTATTTTCAAAGATTTCCACTTTCTTATCACCAGGTGGAGCGACGCAGTTGTTGACCATCGCCTTGGCAACCGTACTGGTTGGTACTGATATAGCCGTTGGTGCTAAGTAGGTAACTGGTGACAGTAGTTTTTTAAGGACCCACTCACCGGGACGACTTTCTGTACGATCACACAACAACATCCTGCAATGAAATGTGAACAATTTTCCATTTTAGAAATAACAAGCAGCCTGTCGGCTAAAATAGCTCCGCTTTTAGCAGAGACATTTCAATTAAAGAACTGAAGATATCATTAGAAAATAAACAATATGTACATGTATAGTATCAAAGCAATTGGACAAAAATATTCATCAAAATTGGAGAATTAAAGATGTCATCATGAAATGAACAAATTTGAGAGTGGTCCATATGTAGTACCAATATATGTAATATCAAAGCAATTGGCCTTGTGGTTTTTAACAAGAAGTCGAAAATATCACTTTTTACCAAAAATGACAAAAATATTCACCAAAATTAGAGAATTGAAGATATCATTACAAAATGAACAAATCTGAGAGAGGTCCACGTGTAGTACCTATATATGTAATATCAAAGCAATTGGACTTGCGGTTTTTAACAAGAAGTCGAAAATATCACTTTTTACCAAAAATGACAAAAATATTCACCAAAATTAGAGAATTGAAGATATCATTACAAAATGAACAAATCTGAGAGAGGTCTATATGTAGTACCTATATATGTAATATCAAAGCAATTGGACTTGCGATTTTTAACAAGTCGAAAATATCACTTTTTACCAAAAATGACAAAATATTCACCAAAATTAGAGAATTGAAGATATGATCATGAAATGAACAAATCTGAGAGAGGTCTACCCAAGGTACATATACACCAAGTATCAAAGCATTCAGGCTTGTAGTTTTCAAGAAGAAGTCGAATAAGTAAAACATTGACACAAACGACGGACGCCGGACGACAGACGACATACAATCACTCATATGATAAGCTCCGCTCGACAAAGTCGACAGCGGAGCTAAAAACCTGAAATGCTTATGATGTCCAATGTATGTACCAATATAAACAAATCCATCTGTAAACAGCTAAGATCTGGTTCTGGAATGCCAGGAATGCTTAATTTTGATGATTTTTATGCACAAAAATGGCTGTCACTTGGCCATCTTGAATCAGATTGTGAAACAAATTAATGTACATATGTATAATGTCATGTATGATGTATGTATGAAGTAATCAGTCCAGGTATGTCAAAGATACATTTCCAGACACATGCACGAACACACAGAGGCCAATCCCACTGCGTTCGAATAAGGACTAAAAAACAACCTGGGCATTTCCATTTAAGAAACAAAGGTCAATAAAAAGGTAACAATATGGTGATAGATTCCATTTTGGTGAAATTTAACCCTTTTATTTGCCACTAACATTATAGCATTCAACTTCTTGGTCAACAAGTCAAGTTTCATTTCAGTTTCAACTTTACGTTCGATAAATGTATGCAGAATGCTATCCATAATACTCACGAAGGTCTGTATATTGATAATCGGCTGAAATCCAAGTCTGTAATTTCTGATTCAACCAAACCCTGACAAGACAAACAAGTAGTATCTTTTTACAAACAGGGAGCTAAGGAATTCTATTTAATACATTTATTTGTTTAGCTTCAACATTTCAAATGCATTGCTAGTTACCAGTAAAACCCAAACAATTGACAGACACGTTTAATAGTCAGGTTCTGTCAAAGAGGAAGTTCCAGTCATCCCAAATGTGTCTGCACTGGGTATAGAAACAGCACACACTGCTGATGTCACCTCCGATTGGATGACATTCAATCTTCCAACCAGGGATTCTGCAAGCTTGACAGATGGGCAGTAGACATGCAGCACTGCAAGGATCCAAATTATGAATTCTGTTTATGGTGGATGGACACGCTAACCATTGTGGTATACATACCTTGGTTCTCGGATATAGGAATGAACTGTTCTTATTGGCTCCTACCGACGTTAATAAATTGAAATGCTGACATCCTGTCTTCTTTGCAAGCTCTGCTGTTTTCAAGACATAATCATGGTCCACTTTCTTGAACCCCTCCTATAGTGCAAATAAGAAATGTTTAATTTTAAAGCTTTAATTTTAGAAAGTGTATCAAAAATAAAACATAAAAATACAATCTTACCAAAATACATTTCATAATTATCTGTTTTGCAAAGTTTACAATCATCTCCAGCGACGTATATCAATTAAATAAAAAAAGGACGGATTTTCAACAACCAATTACAGAGTGCTTTACTAAAGAAAGAGGCCTCTAACATAAACTGGGATTGGATGTTATTTTGATGATACCTAAACAACTGAATTAGAGGCCACAAATACAGATGGCTGTATTTTAAATTTGCATTCTGAAATAATTGTTCAAGCTTTATTGTGGTCATGTGACTAATATACAACATATTTGTTGGTCTGAATTCATAAATTATTGTGACCCACAATTTCTGACGATTCATATCAACAAATATTTTACATAAAATTCCCCAAACCTAAATAAAGATTTATGAATTCTTGAAACTTGAAAAGTGACCGAATCTTCCGTGTACATGAGGGTTTAATGAGAATTCAGCTCAGAATGGATTGGAGTTATTACATAAACTGTTATCAACAAATACCACAAGAGTAAATACAGTACTGTAAAATACTTTATTTTAGCTGGAATTAATTTTCTAGAGCTGTTTTGTAATGTAAAACATAGATAAAAAGATATATTCGCTGGATTTTATTTTAACTGAATTGTCCTTTCAGCGAAAATAATTTTCATGTGACAATAGGGTATTTTACTACTATAAACACAACAAAACCATCCCCTTCATTTTTATAAATATTTATGAATTTTAATGGCAGTTGAATGCAACCATCCAGAGATGTCATTTGAAAATGAAAACTTCTTGTTTCAGTTGAATTAAAAAATTGATTTGTGAAATGTATTTGTTGTGGCAATAGTATTAAAAGCATGTTCTTTTAACCACAGGTGTGTGTGTGCATACTACTAATAAAGTGAGAGCCTAGGAAAATGGCTCCCTGAGTGGTGGTTCTTACCACGCCAGATTTCCCCCGAGTTGTACCGAGGCAACAGAATCCAACATCGTGATCTTTAAATAGGTCTTCGTATTCATCTAACTTGTCAAAATCAACAACTTTTTGCTCCTGTTAAATAAAAAACATAATCAAAGAAATCTTTAGAATTCTTGTGTGGTACGAAATTATTGAAGGCAAAGACTGAATGCATGACTCAGACAATGAAAATATCACTATTATAGGTACTATGCAAAATATCACTATGCAATGTCTAGTTTATTGAATCAACAAATTACCTAAAATATTCCACATGTTTATGCACATTAGTAAGTACCCTCCCCTCAAAATGGCACAGAGATTGTTTGTTATGCTAATTCTCTTATTATCTAATTGGGTCGTTGCATTGTCTTAAGGATTTACGTACCAGTTGAAGCAAAATGATTAGTGTTTCAGATAATGATGGAAAAGCTAAAAATTTACCTAATATTATGCACAGATTTTTACATGAAACTAATAAGGTTCACAGAAATGTATTTGGCGAAAAACATATTATGCAAATTAGATAATAAATATGAACAGATTTTATTCAAAAACTGATCATGTATGCACATTGTTCCAGGGAACCTATATATACTATAAGTTTCATTAAAATCTGACCAGCAGTTCTTGAGATAATGGTTGAACAGATCGACGTACATACACACACTCTGACATACACTTTTACTTTCCTTTATCTGATCATTTATTTTTAATTGTTTATGTTTTTTCTAAAACATATTTACTTTATTGTAATCAATTTAATACCCTAAAGAGGGTACAATGTCAATAAAGTTTACTTTACTTTACACAGAGACTCCAATTGTGTGTTTTACACAAAGAAGAATATCAGGATAGTTTATGCCTTCAAAAACGTCCTACAGCCACCTAACAATTTTTTGAATATCTCTCTCAGTCACCAAGCTGACCCAACTTGATTTTAGGATTCCAGCCCACTCTATGAATCTGATACACTCCATTGCAATCTTCATACATACCAGTGATTTAAGTTTCTCATCTTCATACTCAACAACCCTTCTACCTAAGAGTGTAACTTTAGAAAATATGTTACTTGTCGCTAACTCTTTGACGAGTTCTTTTCCAACTTCTCCTGTATAACCAACGACAAACGCACTCTGCTGTTTCTCTTGAAAGCTTGCTTTATTTGAATCTGCACTTTCAGCCATTCTGTGATGAGAGAATTAATGTCATGGAATTGAGGTTGAAAAGATCAATAACATACATGTACTCAGTGCAACAAAGGCATTCAATTTATGGTGTCTCATTACAACCAAAACTAAAATCACAACACTCTAAAATATGAGCATTCCAATTTAAATTTTGGGAAATGGGTGTTAAAATATGTGTACCCCAGTAGTTTAATTTAAAATATGTGTACCCCAGTAGTTTAATTTAAATTATGAGAAATGAATGTTAAACATTTATTAACAGTCAGTTTATTCTTAATAGATATCCTTAGGTTTCGTCCCACAGCCTATTATTCCCACATCAAATGACTCACGGCTGTGATGGACTATTTAATATGGAGAGTGACAATTTGATGACACATAGGGGTATGGGGTATACAATTTGACACTCATGTGTGAAGTTTCTTTACAGTTGATTCCAGTGACGTAAATTACTGCTACTGTATGCTGACATGGGGAATTTTCCTGTTGGGCTGGCAATAATAAAACGGTGGTCTAGTAGCATTTTGTTCATGGTATACTACAATTAACGAATGTATTAGTGTTTTAGTTTCTCACTCACTTCTCACATCTAGATACAATTCATGGTCAAAGAGGCTAGACATTATTCAAACCTCTATGGTCATCCCCTTTTATTAAATGGTGTAATTCATTGTGCTTGGAAAAAAAAGTAATTTAAACTAATGCTTTGGGGAAAAACGCCACTTTTTTTGACAAAAGCACCCTCAGCGATGAATATGTTTATTATATAACTTGTATGTATTTCGCATTAGTTAATTGACAGATTTGACAGCAACTATCTTTTTATTTAACCTAAAACTGTTGTTCATTCATTGTATTGGTGGATGAAATAACCTCGCGAAAATTTTAGTACTTGGGAATAATTGGGCGACATAACCAATGGTCGACGTCTTTATCTAATGCATGCTTATTGGTTTTAAAATATTGCATGCAAAGATCTTTTCTAGACTAGCCAAGGTTCATCATATGAAATATTAGATGGTCTAAATAGGCACAAATTGCAGGGAATATTTGATGACATGTCCTGGCCGGTTCTGAATGGCAATGGCCACCTGTTACTCAAAGAGAAATAAGTCTTAGTGAACCCAATGGGAATCTGAAGCAATCATCAAATGTTTTTATGCACTGTAAAATCAATTTGAATGTTTAGTACTTGTTTTCCTTGCAATTCACGCAAATTATATCAATTATCAACATATTATATAGTGCAGTCCCATGATCCCATATTTATTAATTTTAATATTAAACTTAACATACATTGGAATGAATGGTAATAAATGCAATGCACATACAACAAATACAATTAAAGAAAGCTTAGAAAGAACTCCTGGTGCTGGGAGTATTGAAGACACATTAAAAATTAATTAAAAATTACTTGTACTTGAGATATTGATGAAAAAGCTGAAAATCTGATGAGAACCAACAAATTATGAAGTATTATGCTAATTAGAGGATTAATAAGAACAGATTTCGCCCCCAAACTAATAATACTCTGTCAAACTGTACTAGTCTATACATTGTCCTAGAGCATCTATGTACCAAATTTCATTGAAATGGCATGATTAGTACTTGAAATATCAAAAGATGAAAATGTATTAATTATGCAAATTAGGTAAATAACTTGTACAGATATTAACCTAGAAACTATCAGGTCTCTGCATCGTCCTACAGCATCTATGTTCCAAGTTTCATTGAAATGTGATGATTAGTGCTTGACATATCAAAAAGCGAAAATTGATTAATTATGCAAATTAGGCAATTAATATGCACATATGTTAACCTTAAAACTATCAGGTATGTGCATTGTCCTATGACATATATGCACCAAGTTTCATTGAAATGTGATGATGAGTACTTGAGATATCATTGGAAAAGCCAAAAATTTACTAAACATTATGCAAATTAGGTAATTAATATGCATATATTTTTACCAAAACTAATCAAATTTGCGCATTAGTTTAGTCTATGTAGCAAGTGTTATCACAATCCAATATGTGCCTCCTTTGATATCAGTGGAACAGTCATAGAACAACTAAAAATTAGCTAATTACCATACAAATTAAGTTATTCATATATTAATATAATTATATATTAGGCCAGGAAAAAGAAATTCTCTTTTTCTTTTTCATGTAAATTTTAAAATGAGGCAGCGAGGCGATTTTTGTTTTATTTGAATACTGAGCTAAAATGGGGGAAATTTGAGACAAGTGCGAGTACAAGTGCGAGTACAATCGCATTTTGGAATGCTTTAGAAGGAAAAAAACGTTCGAGGCGCATAGCTTAAAATGATGCGCACGGAAACGAGAAACACGAAAAATGCCCACGAACCTGCATCTCTACCTTAATATATAGTTCTACTATATAATATTCTCCAAAACCCTAATCAAATCTGCGCATTAGCCCATAGCATCTACGCATTAAGTTTCAACAAAAACCAACATATGGTTCTTGAGATATGATGAGGGACTGTGGTCAATGATGTCTTCCACCGTGTCACGCCATGACCTAGTCTCACAACATGACTTTGGCATGACCCCTTACTGTATGATCGTTCTGTTTAATTGTTAAGCATGGATTTATTATCGTTATTATCATTATATTGTCACATGATTTGTTTATGTGTAATCTCTTAAGTATCTTTACTGACAGGGGTGTGTAGCTGGTTGTTTGAAATCCCTACCTCTTATCAGACAGAAATAAACTCAAATTGCCCTAACCCTAACCCATTTTCAAACAAACTGTGCATATTTGACACCCCTTTCCAGATCGTTAAGCACAAATGGTAAACAGCGAATCAGATGATCCATTTCAGGTTTATTCATTCCGGGAAATCGGGGGTGGTCAGTTAGATGGACTCCCGGGGATAGACTTTGATGATCGAAATGAAGTTACAGAAAGAAAAAATCAGCTTCATTCTCCTGATTGTTGGATCACTCAAGCTCTAGAGACAGTCTTTGGAAAATATGGACACCTTTCAGACAGAAATAATGAAAAAGGACACTCCTTTTCAGACAGACCTGGGTAAAATAACATACCATTTTTTTCTGAATGTTTCTGACATGGAATGACAACCATGCTTTATTCCTCAGCTCCTGAGAGCGAGGTTATTTGTAGATACATGTGTGTATGTTGGCGATAGCTGCTGTGTCTGCGGAAGTACTACCGGTATGGGAGATTGCATGATGGGAGTGAAAAGTTTTTTGATCAGTATTTTAGAAAAGTGAAAACTTGATTGACTGTGAAATAAAGGTTGGTTTTAAATAAAAAATATCATGGAATCTGGATGAAATAATGAAAGGAAATTGAACTGGTATGAAAGGGCAGTAAATGTGGCAAGAATGCAAGGTCAGAATCCGGGGGTCAAAATACGTCACAATACATCCATCATCTTCCATCGGCTGTCAACAACTACGGATGCGGTAAAAGTCTTGATTTGCAGTTTGCGTGAATGGCTGGGGGGGGGGGGGGATCATGCCAATTCTGTGCTTCAGTAACAGTATTTGCTGCTTTTTTGTGCAATAGAAATAAAATCAAGAAATGCTGTCAAAGGACATTTCCTTCTAGTAAACAAAACAACCCTGGGACGTTTATCTTGAGAAATTGAGAAGACGAAAATCTATTGGGACATTCGTTGTTGTGAAACAATGGACATACTTCTCCAGGGTATCAAGACTAGTTATTAGAAGATTATTAGAAGAGGGGAACTGCTGCTTTATGGAAGAGCAAATTTCAATGTCATTGGCCACAGTAATTCTAAATCGATGTTGGTTGTAATTGGTGTTACCTGGTGTAGAAGTAATAACATTACGATGTTTTCGGGTTTAATGGTAAATTATTAATATTAATGAATTAATAGTAAATGGTAGACTCCCTTTTGAATTACATCAACCAGTCTAACCTGGTTGACAACAATGAAATTCTAACAGCAAGGTAATTAGGACAAATTAATAAAAATATACAAACATCATTTATATCAACTTGGGAAAGTGAGTTACATAACGACAATCAATCAAAACAAAATGAGAAATAAATAAGTTAAGAACATACAGAGAATTAAAAAACAATTTTGCTTTTGAACTCTACTAGTACCTTGTTACCCTGCAAAATATTGAGATGCGCGAAAATTTAAATAATTCCGCCTCAGTCACCATAACTTGAAAACTGAGACTGACAGACACTATGGAATACCCCTTGCTAATAGATTATGTATCCTTTGTGATCAGAATCAAGTAGAAGATGAGTATCACCTAATGATGTCATGAAAAAGTTTTTCCCCCGATAGAAATGTCTTACTTGAAATAGCAAAAAAAACAAAATTTGTCATTAAAGACAGAATTCATAGTCTTGCTAAACAATAGTGGGTCTAACACTCCCTGTAGCTCAGTGACAATTTTCTTTCCCAGTTAAGTTTTGCATTTTTTCTCTCTTTTTATTGTATAATTGAACTATACAAAATTTGACTTATGTCACCAAATTGTACGTTTTGATGACTCGTATGCAATTGTATTATTATATTTCTGATATACTCGAAGTGAATCTCAGCACTGTGCTTTTTATAAATGTTATGGTTCAGTTAATAATTCATGGAAACTATACAGAAAATCACATTATTTTTTTGTTCATAGTTTTTCTAAATTTCAGTTTTTTATTGTTCATAATTATTTACAGCAATAACACTTTTTTCTGTTGTGAAACCATTTCCAGTTATCATGATTGTGTACATGACAGCTTTCCCCCACACAATAAAACATGTATGGGTATGTGCGAGTATGTTTCATGGGTTTATACTAGACCACTTGTTTGCTTTAATTCCAACTATATCTCCGGAAATATCACTTGTTGTTTATCATCCATATTTCATTATCCCACAATGTCTGGCAATTCTAACTAACTACTATTGCGTAGCCTTGCTTCTACTCCCATATTTTCCTTCACAGTGAAGGTTAATGCAGATATATTGTAAATTACACAGAGGTAACATTACAATACATTTCCCTTCACATTCCCCTGTATTACATAACAATCTTTGTGCTGAGGCAGTTATGGTTCTACAACCATCACCAGTTCTCTTGTTGTACTTAGATCTATGTCCATTTTTAGGATACGACTTCAATAAAGACTATTATTATTACATACAGCATTTCCATTGGGGGGGGGTACTGAGCAGTTAAACCATAGACAGTATAGTAGGACTGATCACAGTCCCTCCACTATGGACTAATTAAACGAGTCCGATTGAAGGTCATGTATTGTGGTGACCTCACCAATTCGTGTGTAGGTATGCAACCTATCCAAAAATTAATCACTTAATACGCATAATACCTGAAATTCCAATCTTCGTTATCTGCGGGAGTATTGTCCAACTGTATGGCTATGCCTAATAAGAGAGACACAACTGCGGTCAGAAATATTCCACAGAGCTGTCCCCACGTCCACTGCATGTGTTAAATATGAACGAGTGAACGACCAGCAGTTCGTCGTTTCCATAAAAACTAGTTCACATACGGTACTAAGATCGATGTTTGAAGAGCGCCACCATCGGTTTTGTGACTCGATCCCTACGTTTAAAAATGATGGAGATTGTCCAACAGTGTTAAAGCGCGGTGGTCGTCGCGCAGCGCGTGTTCGAATTCCATGTAAATAAACAATGTATTTTACACGCGTTGTATACGTCGCTATGAGTACCATATCGAACAGGACGCGGCACGACGACTGCCGCCCTTTAATAATAAGATTCGTCTACGATTGGCAAACCCTAAAAAGCAGAATTCTGTAATTCCGACCGTATATAAATTACAAGAGGACTTTAATTATTCCAGTTTATAAACTGTTCATAGATTAGTTTTCAAATAATTGCTGAAACATTCACGTATCGTCGTCATCAGGGGACAATATAATGTGTGGAGTGCTCTTGTAACATTTACCATAACAGCCAGTCACAAATGTTGGTGGCAAAATAAATTGTGCTTTCCTATAAATTCTACTATATTTCATTCGGAAATGCATGTGTGTTAATATTAATACCTTTTAAAGACTTAAAGTGCATGTGAAATGCCCACCCACAAATTTCCTATTTTGGATAGTTATTGATTATTGGGTTGAAAATGATTAATCGTGTCGTGTCCGAGTAAATTTGAGATATTTCTCGTGTTGTAACCACGCCCACCTATTCTGAAATAGATAGTTTCCGGTTTCAGGCCCGTAGCCAGCACTTTTGAATAGGGGGTTCGAAAACAACAATTATATATATGATGTGAAATGTGTGAATTTTATAATATTCAAAAAGTGTTTTTGAGCTCTGTTACAGACATTTTTATATTATCGGTTTTAAATTAAATTTTATTGGTAAGATATTTCACATAACACCTTTGAACTATTTTACCATTTTAGAGAAGGGGTCCTGAGCCATTCCTCACCTACAGGCAAACACATCCACATCATTGATCCACTACGGCAAAATGTTGTACACAAAAAAGACAAGACTGTACGTATCTTAGCATTATTGTTTAAGTATTTTAAGGTAGAAGGCTACTTACGAGTTTTTTCGCTCTTCGCAGATGTTAGCGCACATAAAAGTGACACGATTTCATGTCGAAATCTGTCTACAATTATTCATTTTAGTATTGGTCAATTTTGTATTATGTAATTTTATTTCTGTACAGGGCCTCAGCCTATCGTATAAAACATAATGGGTAGAAAAGTGCATAGCACGTTTTAAACACAATACAACATCCATGTAAACATATGGTACTAAGTTAAGCTGAATTCATATTCATCTCGTCGCTTGAAAACTTTTAAAAGATATAGAGCTATTTGATATATGGT